GGCCCCTGAGAGCATCTTCCAGTGCGTCTACACGCTGCAGAGCGACGTCTGGTCTTATGGAGTCTTACTGTGGGAGATCTTCTCTCTAGGTAACCATGGCAACACATCTTCTCTGGGTTACCATGACAACAGTGTACACTGTTACTGATTGGTTGGAGATCCCCAACCCAGAACACTGACATCATAGTGATGTCACATGACTTGACACACTGGTTTCCAACAGTTGACTCCTCCCTCCCCTGTCTGTGTTCACCTGCTCAGGTAAGAGCCCGTACCCCAACGTTGCCGTGGATACCAACTTCTACAAGATGATCAAAGATGGCCGCCACATGCAGCGGCCAGACTTTGCTCCAGCAGAGATGTGAGCAGACTCAGGCGTTCCAGCTGATCCAGGTGGGTGGAATACAATTATGTTGAATGTGACGCAGCTCACCTGTGCGGCAGGTATCGCCTGATGACACTCTGCTGGAGTCCAGAGCCCACCGACAGACCCACCTTCAAAACAATTGGCCAACTCATCAGCAGGCTCCTCCCCTCCAACAAAGAAGCGCCATCGCATGACGGCGAGCAGGTGAGCACACGGCACGCTGAGGAGCCCCGAGCAGCGTCTGGCAGGCATTGACTTCTTCTTTTTCTGTGGACAGGCGACGTACCGGAACATCGACGAGTGCACAGAAGAAGAAGAGGACGAAGTCGGAGGAGAAACGCTGAAGAGTCGAGAAGAAGAAGAAGGTGAGTGCTTCAGAAACTGCTAGAAGAAACAGAAACACATCTGCAGTGACCTCACTTCCTGTCCTGCTTCTCAGAGCGCCACGATGACGAGGGGGCTGGGCCAACGACCAAGAACATCTACCAGCTGTCGTAATCCTCTCATCCAATCAGAACACTGCGAACGAGATGACGTCATGTGACCGACAAGCACCAAAACATTCAAACTGAAACCTGATTTGCAGTGAATCGGAGCCACAGAGATGTCAGCTGCCGACAGACTGTCGTTTCCTGAACGTCTTGAAGCACAAAACATCGTTTACCAACAAAACATTACATTTTCAATGATAGAAGTACGATTTGTGACGAGCCAGAAACGGTAACCAACATTCTCAATCCTTCAATTATAAATGAAACCTGATAAAGATTTCTTTAAATGGCCGCCGACTAAACTCTGTCATCAACATTTAAAAATATAACAGCTGTCAAACTCTGTACATTTATCTTAAGAATGTATTTTCTGATGAGCAAAGCCTTACATTAAAGATGATGTCAAACATTTGAAGCCTGGTGTTTGGTCAGACTGGCTTTTCTGGATCATTTTGAAACATCACAAAATAAAGGCTTTGGATTAAAGCGACCCCAAACCAAATAATCCTGTCAAATGGCTTTGACGACTGAGCGCTGGAACACTGGATGGTATATAACCCTATTACCCTATAACCCTAT